GGAGGCACTCTAAACACGAATTGTCTCGCTTGATTGTTGGAGTAAGTGCTTTTCAAACGAAGACTCCTATTTTGGGAGAGCTCAAGGCTTCTTTACGACACTTCACGTCCTTTCCCCTCCCCAAATATATTTTTATTCCTAACTTTCAACTTCTGAATGAGAACGTAAGTTTAACTCACTGCTTAACGAGGTTAAAAACATTGCCAACAACGTTCACTGTCCTGTGAGCCATATGAGGTTTACAAAACGTTGCACTCAGGTTTTACAATGTTTGTAAACCACATGTGGGTCACAGATGTTTACATTTTCTACGGCATATATATTTCTACGGCACCTAACTCCACATAACTGCACAGATTTTGTCTTGGACGGTCAGAAAATTCAGCGGGAATACACCGGGACGTGTGTAAAAATAATTTTATTTTTGAGACGATTAAAACAAAACTTTCATGTTTGGAGGTGCGGTGATATTTTAATGTCGAGACGCCTCCGAGCTAAATTCAAAATCGCCTGTTTCTCGCCCAAGAAATACCTCCTTCCTCTGCTAGTTGGTGAAAGGAGCATAGCGAAATTTGCGTGCTCAGACAGAAGAGCGGGCCTGATGGCCCGAGTCTCGTCACGTAAAATAAGGCATTAATTCAATTCAATTCATGTTTTCATAGGGACAGAGAAGGTATTAGAAGGACTAGAATAATCAAATTAAAGTGTTCATTATAAGAAATTGAAGCAAGGAAACTACAATAGATTTTCGTCACTCTTTCTAGCGAGGTAATTTAGCAATTTCTACGCAATATATGACATTAACTGTGAAGTATATCCATAATAACTTTTTGCCTAGTGTCTAGTTTCATGACAAAATTAACCAAGGAAGTGCGTACTATAGATACAGTGCATCGACCTGAGCACAGAACATTTGTTTCGTTCTCCTTTTATCTCAATGGCCATGAACATATTACATTTGCCAGATCTACACGATGACTCGAGTAGTGGCTATAAGTGGGGCTATCTTCATTTTCACTCGCCCGAAGTGCGTGGGCGGAGAAGAAATTAAATACCCCCCCCCCGGGGTCCATAAACAAAACCTCTGCCCAGCTCTGTTGGGAAGCCGAAGTCACCCAGGAGCTACTTACCCTTGTTGCGAGCGCGAAGTCCTGAAGCGCTCCCAGGCCACAGGTTGCCCCTTCCCCCCCCCCGCCCCCCGGTAAGCCCGGTAACTTCCCCGATGCCTCCTGTGAGCGCGGCAGTTCACTTTGCCAGAAGGCGGCGCCGGTTGGCATGCCGCTGAAGAACCTCTCGCTCACGGCGTAATGCGATGGGATTTAATCTGCTTTGCCTCCGTGCTGGGGAGCAGAGCACCCAGGGATCTCTCGTTCGTAACGATGATGTTTTAATAAGCACTGAATCTGCCAGGTGCAAAATATGTGAAGTCCTTTCGTAATTTCGCCCACGCAGAATATCTGATACCAGGACGAAGCGACGCATAGAAAATCTTACAGGCGAATATTGCATAAATCCAGAGCGCAGAGCGAATTGCAAAATCCCGAGGTCAAGACACATCACTCAGGAAAGATCGAAAAGTTGCCCAAGATATTCCATCTTTCAATTCTCAGTTAGCTCCCACCGAAAGAGGCTGCGTGGTTCACCTAAAAACATAAATGAACTTTGTCTCTCCACTCCGTGCACAGACATCCCTATTTCTATGTTGGAATGCCATTTCGCCTGTAACAGAAAACTGAAGCCGACTAAGCTAGCCCGAGTCCGTCAAATGTATCTTCAAATGTCACTGCAGAGCCTTTTACCGGGAGTTTCTAGGGATCAAGTTTCTGGCGGATTTTCGAGTAGCTTTCACAGCCTATAGCGAGAGGAAACAGCACCAGATGCTCGATGGTAGTTTTTCGTGGTTTCTGCCGGGAAAATATGACCAGCTGCGAACCTGAAGCAGTAGCCAAACAAACGGTTACGATTGGCTTGCGTTGCGCGTGCGGCGTCTTCCTTGTCCGTATACTAAACCATTACTTACACACCAAAACACACGTTACGGGACTAAATGACATTAGCGAATTACCGCGCTTCGGAAACGTACTATATCATTCAAACAGAAGCCAAACTGAATCCTTAAGGCCGAACCCAGCATTTTACTCCGTAAAGAAATTCTGCTTCCTCGTTTGAAAAAGTTAGCTAAGAGATGACCACACAAACGAGTGTAAAAGAAGCACGACTTTGGCAGATTTGGGAAATTGGGCCAAAAAAAACGTTTGAAATCGGAAAAATAGAGACTAGCTATTCGTGAGTGTCCGTTTTCGAGTGCCTTCTGCTGAATTTCCATTAGCTCGGAAATAAAATCTTGAAATATAAATAACACATTTCCAAGTGAGTCAATTTGATTACTAAAAAATACCTCATACGATATTGCAGAGCTTGTATTACTTCACTCGTCCCTCCCGTATTTTTTTTTTGTTTGTCTTTGCAACCAATATGGAAACATTTACTTTATGATCTACGAAGTGAAACGCCTCATCTTCGTCCTCGTTCAGTTAGACAACAGCACCTTCTCTAAAATTGGCCTCCAGTTCTCCGAACACCTTTAACGATGGCTTTCTCTTTTAATTGTCAATCCTTAGTATCTAAAATATAAACTGCGACTAAAGACGAAAGAAAACTGTCATCACTAGTGCAATAGTTGAATCGTAGATGTGGGAGGGTGAAGGGGTGGGGCGGGCGGCGACGAGGTCGGCTCACAGGTGTCGGCTGGCCTCCTTTCCCGGAGAGTTGTCCAATTCATAAACGTCCTAAAGTGGCTACTTGAGCGGAACGTTTCGTGGACACGCGTTTAGAGTACTGAATATTCTGTATACGCTGAAGGCAATTTTAACTGGGTGAATTTACATTGTCTGCCTCAGCTAATTAAACAATTATTCGATCAAATAAAAATCTATGACCAATCCGGGGATTCAGCGAAAGCTCGAGTCGCATAGGGGAGTGTGTAATTCGGTTCTTAGCCTTAGCAACAGGTGCACTGCTGTGTCGTGTGAGTGCGAGAGCAGTGAATATCCGCACCGACATCACCTTCTGTTTTACTACAGGAAGAAATAGGTGACCAGAAGAGAATTCCTTCTGAATGGAAGGTCTTTGCCCAACGACACCTCAAGGTGCAATAAGGGACACGTCGTACTTCTGTCTCTCAGCTCCAACCACGAAGGCCGCAAGAAAGGAGAACAGGTTTCTTCCTAATATGTAACAGGAAAGCAATATATCAAAAGCATATAAGCATAAATCTGCGCCAACGATGTATTTACAAAAGCCTGCGGTTACAATGCGTTCATGAAATGTCTGATAGAGCGAGATCTGGATGTGAATTGTTTTCATGGTGGTGAATCGTTAAGTTGCTAGAGACTTGGATTGGGCTGTGTGGCCCCTATTCTTGCTCTCCAACAACCCTGGTCTAAGGCAGCTGAAGTGTTCGTCACGTGCCGGAGGGTGGAGGCGCATGAGTTGTTGCAGTTGTTTGTTGTTTCCTGGGATAATGCACGGCCCAATTAGTATTCCTGGCGGTGAGTGAACAAACGGCGCGAGTTTCTCATACGTGCCCCTTCCTATGCCGCCATTAATACCTCCCTTGCCTCCCCTCCCTTTCTCTCCCATCCCCTCCACTCATCCCCCCTTCCCCCACCCCTCCACTCCCCTCCCCTTCCCTCCCCGCTCTAGGGACCGCGCCCAGCGCTACCTCCGGCAGAAGAAGCTCTAGTGGAGCTGTTGGTAAAGATACGGCTCTTGTAGAACTTTTCGGGTATGACGATTTATGAGCTTTCATCGACCAAACCACCCAGGCGTCCATACACCCGGGACCCAGCCCACGGTCCATACACCCATACAGTGGGCCCACGGGACTTCAGCCGGATCTTCCAGATTTTCTTTCTTAAAGGGAGTCTTGTCTGCCAGAGGTGGCTCATCTCACCTAGTTGTACGTTTAATTGCGGAAGCCCACGGAGGCCCATTTCGGCTGCAAGGCGAGGTTTCGGGGAAAGAGTAAGATCACAGGCGACGCTGTTGGCCAGAAGGGTGAGCCACAACGCAGTGCGCCCATGCGCCACGCGAGGGTCTATCCCCTGCGCCACAGGCCAGCCAGGACAGGAAGGGCGAGAGTTGGAAGTGGATACAAAGGGTCTGCGCGATCCACCTGCCACGGTACACAAGAAAACGCCCATGCCCTAGGCGGGGCTCGAACGCGCGTCCCTTGGATTCCCTTCTCACTTCGGTCTAGGACAATACAGGTGCAGCGCTATTGCCATTGCACGTGGTGAAGCACGCAACGGACACACTGCGCTAATCTGCATCTCAGCGCGCTGGCAGCGCTGACTATTCAAATGCAACCAATCGGTGAATCCGGCAACCTGCCTTAGCCATTATAGCGAAGTGAAATATAACATATTGGAGTGTTTAGCCCTGGTAACTAATTTATTACCCAAACATTAAATGTTTATTGTTGCTATTCATTGCTGCATGCTGAATTTTAAGCCAAGCTCTATGTATTTACTTGGCGCTACAGCCCGTGAACGAGCTCAGGCCTACCGGCGACGACCCTACCTCGCGGTCATGGGTTAAGGGAGTACGTGTGATTAGCACGTAGACATTCCCTACGCCATAATACGGTCTTCTCAACCTGAGAAGTAAATTTTCCCATCGTCAGGCAGCAACATGTACTGGGACATTGCACGGAAAACGCACTCTATTGTTATGATCGACTGAAAATCGAACCCGGGGCGTAGCGCGTAGTGGAAAGCGAGCACGCTGACCAAGGGCTGGCCACGAGCCCTTAAGTCAAGCTGGCAGAACCAAATTCAAAAAAATGGCACATGCTAATAAACCAACTGGTATGATATTTACTACTATTTATACCATAAACGCTGTGCTGATATAACAGGTCAGCATTCACTTTAGAAGAAAGCAACGTTTGACTTAAAAATCAATGGTTAGTCATTTTTCGCACAAAGAATATCTACCCTAAAGGCAGGAGATAATTATTTCTGTCAATGGCAAGCTTGCGCGCCTACAAAATTAGTAAAGGCATATTTTTTAAGTATCTATTGAATTGTGAATTTTGAATCGATAATTAAAGTCTTTTTAATTAGAGAATTCGAATGCAAACAACTGGTTCCGATTTCAGTTTCAATCACAGTTATCATATTTAAAACTCATCAAATTTGTAAGAGATGTTCAAATGTTTTGAAAATGCACTGAAATGTAAATAACGCCCAATATAATCATTGTCAAGTATTTGCAGCTATAACACCAACACCAATTCAAGAGAAATCAAAAGAGACTGTCGCTTGCGTTACTGTAAAATGCATTGCATGAAAACCAGCGTTCACAACATCGTGTAACATGAAACCCATGAATAGGCGTCGACTCCTATGCGCGGGCAAGTGCACAGATTTCGTCGGTGGGATTGTGTGTATTACACAGCAGCGGCCGCCGACGCCAGCGCAGCGAGCGGCCAATTCCCGGAGCGGTAGACGAGGGAACCAATCGCCTCGCACAGCGCGCTTCATCCCCCCCCCCCCGGCGCATCCAAGAGCTCGCGGTTCAGATTTTTTGTATGCGCCCCCACCTCCGCCAATAGAACATCTCTTTTCATAGCGCGCACAGGCCAATTGTCGTTGTATTCCCGCCCAAACCCCACCATCACCCTAGAGACTGACTTATCACAGGAACATGTTAGAATGTTAGAAATTTTGAATGATAATTGTCACTGTTGTCTATAGTATTTTTTTTTGGCGGCACGAAGTAAATGGAAAGTTATGGTTTCGTCTGTTGCTGATATTCTGCGACATTATTTTTATTCATAAATCGTTGATATCTATCTTTTGACAGTGTTATTGATAGTCTATTATACCAATTTCTTGATAGCCTCTTCCTGCTAGTGTTGTTTATAGCCAATTGCTACAACTGCTAAGCAAGAACATTACACATTCACACATAGCAATACCCAAATTCATTGCTATTGAAAGCTTGAAGATGTATTTCCATACCGAGTAAAGGAATCCGATAGTGACCGAGCTCCACCCAGTGGTTTGCTTCCATTCCGTGTCTGGCTGCTCCCCCCTGAAATTCCTACAATACTTTTTGCATTTAGCGTATAAAAGAATGAAACGGGGATGGTCTGAATAGGCTTGTACTTTTGCCTAGACATCGCAGTATAGAGTAATATGGTTGTGTGATGCTGTTCCTCCAATTTGCATGTTTCAGAGTTAGACATTGACAGCGATAATTCAAGCTTGATGCTTCGGCTCCAATGAGTATGCTTCCACTACGGCTTGTGTGGAAACAACCAGTGCTTATTTTGAGAACTTGATTGTGCATTGTATCAAGATCCTTGGAGGCATTTTAGTTAGGAGATCCAAATAGATTAAAATACTGTTGTCTAATTTTGAACGTTCTATGACTTTATCTGTTAGTAGTAAAATATTATATCATCTCTCTTGTCTTTATGAATAGATTTTTAGAATGTGTTTTTTCAGATTCCTACAAGATACTGCGAGTGTTATACTACTCTGGAATGGCTTTAAAAAGAAGGGGAAAATGTCTTTAAGAAAAAACCATATTTCATAAAAACCGGCTTCAACAGACTCTAATTAGCTATTGACTTCACAAAGTTCAGTATTCATTCACAAACTCCCATTATCTTGAGCAAGAACATAAATTGCAGGATCCCCTCGTGTCTTACTGTTTTCCGTTCCATAGCTTTGTCAACAACCATTTTATGCCTCCCAAAATCACCTTTTCCTTTCATTATTCCTCCCTTTAAAGGAATGTCTAAATTAAATCGAGTCGAAGAACAGTGCGAGATTCAGACTACTTCGATTCTCCTTTCCATCGACTGCAATCTCGGCGCTTCTGTGATGTCGCTATCACCTCGCAGGCGCCCAATACAAAATGGGGCAGATTCATCTCAGGCCGTTGTTTCTGCGGCGGAATTTCCTGCTTCTCGTCTTTCTGCAAATGGAATTTAACTGTCGTCAGCCTCATCTTCTTTAACCGGATCTCTCTCGTATTTAGCCCCAGAGTATTTTCCTGACTTCTCTCCTTACAATTAGCCGAGTAATGAAAAGTTTACGCTTTGTCGTAAAGGTGTAGCTTCAACCGAAACTACCGTTTATTCCTGCGTTACGAGTCGGCGGGGGTGGGGTGGGGAAGGTAGGGGAGGCATCTGCGAGCCCCGCAGCGCGCTCTTCTTTTGTTGGCGGCGCTGTGCATGAATTCGGAATCCGCGCAACGCAGCGGCCGTTCTTGACCAATGCGACTGTTTGTGGCGCCTTATTGCGCCGGCGTTCGCAGGCGGAAGCAAAAAACCGACACATTGCAGATTTTATGAGGCTGCCCCAGCCCCCTGACAGCGGTTTAAAGAAGAACTGCTGCAGGAGGCCGAGATTCCAAACACAACTGGGCTCACGGGCAACGGCTGCCTCTCAATATATAACATAACATAATAATGGGAAAGATATTAGACAAGTTGATACATTTATTTTCTAAAACCAGAAAACAGTGTATGTGATATACGTGGAAAAGTAAAAAGTCCGCGTTTTCTCCAGTTCTAGAACCCATACTTCACCCTTTCACTGCACTGTATTCAGTTGAATGATGCGTAATGATCAGTACATCGAGATTAACATTTGAGAACTAGACATTTTCCGCAATACAATATTAATTTTAATCGCCAAATGAGCTACAGATTTGTTTTGTAGAATTGCTGATAAAATAGCAACCATTCGGCTCCCATTCTTCGTCCCTGCACAACTAATCACAAATTGAACTACTCCGACCACAACTGAACACTCACTACCATTTAACTCCGACGGAAAATATTTGAGAAAGAAACTATATTTTTGCTGTAACAACTGATGATACTCGAACTTTTTTTCCAACACTGAAAGACCTGAACTTAGAAACTGAATTTGTGAACCTCTTTCAAGACGTTGCCATGTAACCCTAAATAATTGACCGATGTGACATTTGCAAGTCTTACGCCATGGGAAATGGGAACGCAGTGTTTTTGCTTTAGACACACCATTACGGGACGCACCCGATTTTTTACTTATCGGGTGACAGTTTTTAGGGTAAAACGTATGTCAGTGAAAACTCACCGGTTTCAAAACGAGTAGTTGGTTTGAAGTGGCATTGCTAACTCACTGGTAACAGAAAAAATAAATTCAATTATTATACTTGTAAATATGTGGTTCATACTCATTTAATATTTATAACCTAGTTTAACAATCAACAAAAATTAAAATTGGAGTGTAATTTCAAAGTAACTATCGTTATACGAGTAGAATCTTGCATGTTTTTTTACATGACATAAAACAAATGTTGTGTGTCAATTGTGGGTGACAATTGTAAGTCTGTTTGTCCGCGCTAATTACAGCAATAGTTAACCCAAATGCAGGTAGCTTTTCACTGAATCACAGTATTTTGACAGGTTTAACTTCGGACTTCTTTAGCTTATTTTCTGGTAGATAAACAAGAAGACTTGTTTTTCTTAACACAAATCTACAGTTCTATTACTACCACAATGAAATTTGTATTAAGTAGAATTTTTCCCTCGATATAACGTGATTAGATTAATTAGATACCCAGCCAATGGGGTATACTTGAGCTTGTCACAAGTAAATAGTTTACAGTTGGAGAGCAGTTGCCCTAAAAGGGACCAATTCTGCTTTGCCGCCCTAGACCCTGTGCGCATGCGCACCCGCTCTGAACTCCCGAAACCGCTGCCCACAAGCAAGGCAGTGAGCTGGGTCTGGAGGCCAGCTCTAAATTAAACAAGACAACGAGTATCACTACAACAACCGCTGCGAGTGCTAATGTAGTTAGCATCGAAACATGCCCACCCCTTTTCCTCCTTCTCAGCTGCCATGTCTCTCCACGTCGGAGCGAACGACGAACTGGAACGAACAAACATACACATTAAAATACTTATCCTCTATAAAACAACCTCAAACCAGAGTTTGTTACTTAATTTTTTACGATATTTTTTATATACAGCAGTTTCTCGATAATTTCTCTTCTTCTGTATAGCCAAGATGGTTGAGTTTTATAGAGAGCTATTTCCAAAATTCTACTTTTTCGGTCGGAAAACGCCAATTTGTGAATGGGCGGAATAGGAATGCATCTGCGACAGCGTGGTCTTGTCAGCGGGCTTTCAGAATTGCAGTGCACTCGCCATTCGCAAATTGTTTGATTCCTGAACTGCGCTCCAAGCCTTGGGAATGAGCATTATGTTCCTGGGGCATTCAGGCAGCGAAATTGAAAAAAAAAACATGTATGCAAAAATATATCCTTCAATCGGGCCCTCGGCGCTAGCAGGGGTGAAGGCTGAGCTGTTTGCCGAGCGTCGTCACGAAGCGGTGTGATCCGCACTCGCTGTTGAATGGGTCCAACAGGTTGGCTTTGCGTCGCCCATCGCCCCTAGACAAAGGGCGAAACCTCGCGCAGGCAGGCAATCGGACTGCCCTCTCGGCTGAACCAACACCCACGCTCTTGATGGCGCGCTTCGGAACGGAAGCTCACGAAAGGCCGTCCTCTTTATTCACACCCTTTGAGTAGTGTGCTTCAGGAGCCTATGTACGACCAGTTAGTTCTTTTGGTTAATGTTCAAATGCTAAAGTGTCTTTTCATGAAGTTAGTGAAGTTTTTATTATATTTCTCAACGACCCTTCAGGCCTTCTATATCTGAAGATTCAGATATAATAAACAGTCCTTTGACCGCAATAGCTTCGTAATTACTAACGTAAGCAACATATATCGCAAATTTTGAAAGTGAGACATTTATTTTCTGCTTCTACTGAGCATACAGTGTACTTTGTGTACCATTGTGCGAAAGCTAATAATATATTGACATTATTTCATCCAACACTCTTAAACTCAACAAAGAAGTACTCACTGTAATCAACAACAAATTCGCAATCTTGGCCAGTCACAATATTCTTACACTCTGTTCTTCACACTTATACAGATATAGTATTAAACAAATTAATTATATTAGGAACTTTTTATGTTAATTTTGTCTAATATTTGAGTATCTTGATTTGGTGAACAATAATACAAATTTTAAATATTCACAACTTGCAGAGTTTAAGAGAACGGAAACCCCTGCATACGTCGTGCTCCAATTTTCTATTTTCTATTTTCGGAAAGGCAATTCCTAACGCGCTGTTTCCGCCGCAGTGTCAATGCAGATCGTAGCGCCCCACACGGATGAGTGCAAAAGTGCTCAAGTTCGCCGGCAGTCGCCAGCGTTCCGCGCTTCGCCATTGTCTGCTGGCGTTCATTTCCGGTCTGCCGCAGATCCCTTCGCTTTCCGGGAGGTGGCTTCTCCAATCGGGCGCTACATCCACAAGCGAATGTCCAATATGCATGGCCAAATTGAAACGGATGTGATCTCTCGGAGGCTTACAGGAAGCCATGATTTAACTTTTTAAATCTCCCTCTTTATTGAGAGAAATTTCACATATGCCTAACAAACGTATTATATTTATGATAAATCAAAACGTATCTTCAGTTGTACTATTTTTTTCTTTCACGTATACATACGTATATGTGGTGTAATATACGTAGTATAGAGAAAGTTAAGTAATAGGGCGCAAGAAATCGGCGGATTTTCGGCAGAAAAAAGTTCATTGCGGGGCTTTGATAACAAAAACGTGGATAAATCCATTTTCAAAATTAAAAATTACAATCCTCTATCATGTGGTGTAGCCAGAATCCCTGTTTTGTGAGTCCTTGACGTAGATAGATGGCAAAACGTCTGTCCCTCCTTCTCTGAACACTACTACCGGCTAAACCATACTTAGGATTTTTTTCCAAATTGAAGAAACCCCTGTCCTCTGGCTCGAGTCGAAGCTTTGAGACTTAAAATATTGTACTTTGTATTTGGTTCTTTACACAAAGTCCCTGGACCTTTTCTTCATTTCCTCGAAAACGATTCCCATTTTTTCTCTACATTTCTTGTAAAAATACAGAAAAATACAGTCGTAAAGATAGCATAGGTAAGATTAACTCTAAGTTTTCAAAAATTGCAAAAGTTTGAATTTGTCGGCGTCCTCCTACAGCAACAAAATTGAAAACAGAGATTTTTTCAAACAATTTTTTTTCCATAGACAGTCCTTTCATTAAGATAACATACATTTTTTGAAAATTTCACGCAATATTGTGGCAACACGTGCAATTTTTAAAATTTAACATAAACAAGATTTTCTCAAAAACAACTCCAATTTTTTTCTACACTTTAAGTCGGGATAGTGCTAAATGTACTATATAAGATGGAATAAACGTCTATTCTTTTGTTTTTCCACATATTACAAAAATGTAAGATTTTGATTTCTCTCGCATCTAATATCTATATTACCGGCAATTTGTTTCCTATATTATATTGATGAGTACATGTGCTTTAAATACTGTTATATAAAGCTTGTCGAAAACAAAATCGTTTTCTGTGAAAATAAACTTAACAATCCACATTTTCAGAAATGCTTAAACGCCATTTCTCAAAACTGTCTGCACATTTTTTCTTCAAACTTATTGAACGGACAGTGCTAGTTGCACATTTTAATATGACGTTAGGTTCATTTTTTTTGTTATTACAGATTTTTTTAAATCTCTTACGCCCTAATCTGCACATTTCCAGCAGTTTGTGAAAACTATTGTATTTGTGAGTGAATGTGCTTGAAATAACTTCTAATAAAGATTTTTAAAAATTCAAAAAAATTCTGAATAAAAAAGAGCTTCAAATGTCTTAATTTTCATTTCATTGCTTAAACACCATTTCCTTGAAACCTCTTTCAATTTTTTGAAGAAAATTGCCATACAGTTACTCTTCTTAGTTATTTTTAAAATACAATTTCAGTTCTACTCTACGGAAAACGAAAAATTAAAAACATTTCAAATAATGATTTTTGGGCGGCGATAGATGGCATCTGCCAGAGTATGTGGCAAGTCCGAAGAGCTATCTGAGTCCAAAGAAAATAGAAAAC